CCGACCCGTTGCCATCCCTAGTAGAAACCTTCGCAATCTGCGCTGATGTTTTGATCGTAGAGTTGATGACGAACCCTAAACCCATATGAATCCAAATCACCTTCTCCATTATTATTAAAACCCTAAAAATAAAATTCTCATCCATAGATGAGAATCAAAATCCCAAAAAATTGGGAAAAACCCAAAAAAATTGGGACAGACTCTCACAAACGGAGAGAACAAAACAAAGCAAAACAAATCAAATAACAAAAAAGTAAATTAAAATGAAGAAAAGGGTCGGAAATAGTCTAATTTCTGAATAAATTAGACTGTTTCCGGCCTAAACGGCCAAGAAAATTGAAACCCTAAAAAGAGGAGAGAGAAGAGAGAAAAGAGAGAAGAGGGAGGCGGCTATAGCTAGATAACGCGATTGATAACCCAATCATCGACATTAATATGTACTAATAAAGTAACTTTAATCGCCAGATTAAATTTTATGTGATTAAAGCAAGAATATTTATGATACATTTTTGGTGTAGTGAGAGTTATGCATGCAAACAGGACAAGTACGTAATCAATATATATATATGGAGTTGTACCCAGTTAATTCCCCATATAAATAATTTTTTTTGTTTATCTGTGGGTATACTTGTCTTTTCAAGTACCAGTGGAGGGGTACATACGTCTTTTCATGTACTAGTTGAGGATACATGTATAGATCCTCACCAAACAGTAAGTGAATTGCTAAACACCGCCAACAAAAATGATCATCTCCGCCAACATCGGTGTAAATGGACAATCGTACTCTTATTATTTCACCACCCCTTATCCTCTTGGCGACCCACAACTCCTTCTGATCGGCGATGACCACCACCACCTTGATCGGCGACCCACCATACCCTCCTCTATGACTACCCACCACCTTCCCTCGCCCGCGGGAAGGTGGTGGTTTAATATATGTTTTTTATTTATTTCAGGCAACCGAAGTAACCGAAGCCCAAAACTGGTTATCGTGCATGGTAACCGGTTTTGGGTTCCGGTTATCGCGCACGGTAACCAGTTTTGGGCTTCGGTTGGTACGGTTGTCAAAAAAAAAAACCACCACCTTTCCGCCAAAGAGAGAATGTGAAAGGTGGTGGGTCATCTTTGAGGGGTATGTGGTGGGTCGCCGGTCAGGGTGGTTGTGGTGGTGGTAGTTGTCGCCGGTCAGTGTACGTGGTGGTGGTGTAGTCATCAATTGGGGTGGTGGTGTCAAGGTGTTAGTGATTGGTGGCAAGAGGGAAGATAGTGGTGAAGTACTAAGGGTATGGTTGTCTATTCACACTAAGTGTTGGCGGTTTTGATCATTTTAGATGGCGGTATTTAACAACCCCAACAGTAAATGCAAATTGCAAACAGTAATTTGACAGCTCACCAAAAGTACTGAATAAATGACCACGCTTTTCCAATATATTTACAAAATTGTCACCAGATTAATAAAAATTCGTTTATATGGCAGATAAACTTGTATTTGCCCATATATATATATATATGATATTTGAAGGTTTTTTAATTTTTTTTTTTTAATTTTTATAATCAAATAATAAGTGCACATGTTGTGTTTGAAATGAAAGCTACTAATAACAAATAAGAAGATATGGCTATGGATTAGCACAAGAGATGGAGAAGGTAAGGAATTTCTACTTATATACTTAGGCTAGGCTGGCTAGCTAGTAAATTAGGGTGTACAAGCTATACTTTCATCAAGCAGCTACTGTTTGGTCTTTACAATGTTTAGTTATATATATATCCATCTCTTAATCGATTGAACTAAGACTTAGCTCTCAGAGAGCTTAGTGTACGTATTGGACCACGTACGTCTTGTATCCCTCCTCCTCCTCATTATTTATTATTTTTTTTTAAAAAAAAGGTCCGTATATTATGTATTTTTTCTTAATTTATACTAGCATTATAAATTTATAATACAAGAATGATAGACACAAAAATACTTAGCTTGTACAAGTATATTGAGGGTGAAATGAAAGAAAAAAGATGCATAGCATTACATAGACATTAGACAAGGTAATTTATGTAATCATCTAATTGAAACATAAACTAGAAAACTGAGGAGATAGAAAACTAACAAAATTGTCACATTATTTCTCATCAACAAATTAAAACACAATTGACAAAATTGTAACATTACTTTTCATCAATAAAGCACTTATAAGATCAAAAGCGATTCAATTTAAAGTTAATTGATGATAAAAGATCGATCAACTAATACACTTATAAGCTAGTCCGATCTTGTTCTTTGATGCAGGGCAAGACACTCACATACATGTGGCTTGTTAATGGAATATGATCAACACCATTCGTCTCAGCTAACAAGTAAGCTGTCCAACTTCGGTTTTGATACCATGTAAAGTTAAATGCATCTAAATTACACTATTTGTTAATCAAGTTAAATGTCCCCTGATTGCATATATTACGTATACATTTAACTGTTTGAAATTTCCATTAGCAGATGACTGGCAATGGATCCATTATACTAGTCACATCTATTTTCAATATAGATATTCTATCTCAACTTGATCATTTTTCACCGCCATCTATTACCACTGTAAGAATGAATTGTCGATCTCATGCAAAAGTTATTGCCATCAAATTATGGATACATTTATAAGTTATGACTGTTGTGAAGCCTTTCAACTTCAGTTTCGCATGAAAGTTTTGGTGAGAATTGAAGTAGTAGTCATATTCTGATATTCATTGTTTATTATGTAAGTAGTAGCAGCAGCAGAACCTAATAAATATGATTAGCCCAACGCTCAAAATTTGGTATGAAAAGGACCTATGCGATGTTTACGTACAAATATCATCACTAAATTGTCATTTTCACGTACAATTTCATATGTAAGTTGACGCACGAAGTTACTTCTTCTAAGTCTTTTTAATGGCTACTCTTTAAGTCATTATCCTATTAATTTGTACATGTGCTATTTATTTTTTTACATGCATTATAATTGACTGTTGTTTGAATGTTATATGTTCAACAAGATAAAACATTGCAATTGAGTATATGAGTATAGAAGTATAACTGTATAAGCATATATCTATTGCCTATCGGTTTATCATATGCTTTGTTTCCATGTGTCTTGGTTGTCAACAATAAGACACCATTTTCGCGGTTGCCAAATGGATTATTATGCTGTATTATGAGGATTTTACCATTTATCGGTTTAAAATAATGTAACTTGAGTTTTACTCCCTCTATTAGGTGATTTATGTATAGACCTTTAAAAAAAAAAAAAAGTTTTATCAACTTATTTTAAAGATCAGTCGACAATATCGTTCATAAATTTAACATGCAACAAACCTGATTGATTCTCTAGTTGTTATTTTGCTTCATTCTCAATTGCAGATCCGAGTTGCCTCCTTATTTTTTGTATGAAATGTCATTCATATATTTAACATTTTATTCCTACAATTACTGAAAACACAAATTTTAACCAAGATCGTCTAAGATGGATGTATATTCTTAATTTTTGGATCTTAATTTTTGGAGACTTTCTTGTTTAGTCCAAAGAATTTTTGAACAAGTAACACTATTTTAAAGGTAGGTTGTAGGTAACACTACTTAGGTAGGCCTTTTTTTTTCCTTTTTTTCCTTCAAGTTTTAGACTAAGCTATACTTTGTAGATGGCAACTACGAAAGATGATAATTAAGTAATTAACCTCAAGTGTTGAACACCAGGCCATAAAAAACTTTAACTGACGAAACAACCCCTCTCCATTAACTTTGTGCTTGTGCTATACGCACTTCATAGGCCCCAGAATCTCGATGTTCAAAATATAGTTGTGAAGGTAGCGGTTAGCTGTGGTAGTAGTTGTTAACTATAGTAGTAGCTGTTAACAACACTGTTAACAAGCTATTAGTTGTGAAAATAGATAATTTACGTATGAGTGTTCGATGAAATAGTGGTTGACTAACTGTAACATAAAAAATCAATATTTTATTTCCTAAAACTATAGGTTGAATTTTCAACAGCTGCCTCTAACTCTGAAAGCTAATATTTTTAAATTTTAAAGCGTATTCGACGCTAGTTTTTGAGTAGCTTTAATTTTAGTCAAACCACTATTTAACAAACAATATGAGTGTTTGACAATGTAGTGGTTGGGGTAGCTTTTGGGCTTGTTTGGTAAATGACTTTTCATTTGCTTTTTGATTGGCTTTTGGTTTTTTCATTTGGTCAAACATCTAAAATTTGTGTTTGGTAAATGGCTTTTTCAGCCAACTGAAAAGCCGGTTTTTAAACCAAAATGAAAAAGCTACTTGGAGACTTGGAGTAGCTTCTGGCTTTTACCTGCCTAAGTTACTAATAACATCCAACAACCAATTTTACCAAATATGTTTTTACACTAATAAAAAGTCAAACCGCCAACAAAAAAGCCAATACAAACAACCAGTCAAACACAGCCAATCAAACCAGCCGACAACCAATAGCCAGTAGCCAATTGCCAAACAAGGCCTTTAGTAGTGGAGGTAAATAACTTTTATCAAAGTTAGAAATATTAGTTTTTGAAATTAGAGGTAGCTTTTGAAAATTTAATCTATAGATTTAAAAATGAAATATTGAATTTTACATGTAACAGTTAGTTAACTCTTGTTTTACCAAACACTCATACCTAAATTATATATATCTTAACAGCTACCATCTTGTTGACAGCTAACAACTACCTTTACAGCTAACAGCTACCTTCACAGTTATGTTTTCCCAAACACGCCCTTAATAAAAATTACTTCTACCCCTAAAAGCTATCTTAACCACTACATTACAAAACACTTTTATTTTTTGTAAAGTTGCAGTCAAACCACTCAAATCTAATGTCGAACAGGCCGATAATAGTTTTATTAGATGGGTTCATTGTAACTCTTTTATCAATAGACTTTCTCTTGACCACCCAGCCCAAAAAATAACCTGACGAGTAAACATTGACCCAAACCATAAGTCCATAACAAAACAGCACCCCTAAAATCCAAGTTTAGAGCCCGTCACTGAACTCTGAAAGCCTGAAAACTGGGCGCAGAGGAGAGAGAAATTGGAGCAATGGCGAGTGTTTGTGGAAGAGCAAGACAAGCCCTACAGTCTTCTTCTGTCTCAGCTACACGAAACGCCCTTTCCAAACTTTGCGGTTCCAATTCTTCTTCTTTTTCTGGAGCTTCTAAATTTCCTGGCTTTACTTCCTCTTCTAACCCCCGTTCTTTCCAGAAGCTTTTCACTTCTTCTAGGTAATTTTTTTTTTTTTTGGGCTTTAGATTGTATTAATTTGGGTATTATGTTATGTTCATTTGATTTTAATGCTGAATTCATGAAATTGGTTGATTTCCTGTTGTAATTTGATAGCTTAGTATTACCATTTGTGTGATTTGTATGTGTTTTTCAAGATTGCATTTTTTTGTTGATTATTGTCTATTGTGATATCTACTGCGTATAATTTGAAAATCGTAATCTGGGGTTGAAGTTTGGATACTTGATTGCTTATTAGAATTGTGATTGTATCAAGGGTAATTGTTTTTTTGTTAATATTATTAATTGTTGGGTTTTCTATGCATTTACAAGTTTTATTTGTTAAGTTATCATTGTGAATTACCAATTTCATGACATATTGATTGTTTTATGAACCTAATACGTTGGCACATTTTCTCCATCTCTGATCCTTTATTCCTTTTGTGTAGATTTTTTGCCTCTATGTTGAGGAAATTTTGTACATTGTTATTGAAGTGTTACTAAATTGATGATTTGAGTTTTTGTTGTGGGTAAATTGAATTATGTGCTAATCTAATGACTTATCGGATATAGGATTTCGGTGGAGTTGGGTTTTGTTGAATCATTATATGCAGATACAGGATAATTGATATTTAAGTGTTGCTTAATTGATGGTTGGACTTTTTGTTGTGGGTTAATCATGTCCTAATCATATGACCCTTTGGATATAGGATTCCGGTGGAGTTGGGTTGTGCCGTATCATTGATGCCTTTGCATAGTGCTACTGCTTCTGCCTTGTTCAATTCCTTGCTATCACTACATGCACAGAGCTGGGGTTGTCTTTCTGAAGGTACTTTTCTCAGCAGCACGCTCTTATTTTTATTAGTAGTTTGTTGATAAGATTAGTCTATGTTTTAATATGTTTTTTGATGTCGATTGTTGCTGTTATACTTATAAAGACGGGTTATCAGTGTTGTTACCATATGATATGTGGTTTACAATAGGTTTTCACCTTGTAAATGAGAGTACTAGTATACCTTTAAATTGATAATAGACAATTCTTGATCAGAGCTTTTTTGCACTAATAGCGCTTTTATTGATTATAGTCAATTATCGTCTTGGTAAGTCCGAAGTCTCTGAACTCTAAATACCCTGTGAGTGCTATCATTCAAAAACTAGAAATATAGGTTCTTCCCTGAAGTACCGCATAATTTCTAAGCCTCATGGTCTCATGGGTATATGGTGGTTAAAGAATTTCTCTTCCACACTTAGAGGTAATTTTTGCGCGTATGGGTCTATTGGTGTAGAACTAAATGTCTCTGGGGTAGCCCGGTAGGGTTAATGACTATGTTTTTAATTTTTAACCAATTAGCTTGATTAGGGTTTGTTAAATGTCCCATAGAGTGGCCTGATATTAGTGATATGATTATAGTTGCATTTTTAAGTCTGACATTCGAGGCATCTCCAGAGTGAGTTTGGATTAAAAGCTTCAGTTGATATGCTTGTCTGAGATTAATCGTCATGTACTTGGTACTTAATTTGATATCTCTCTGAGGTATTAACTGATGCTTGATTATTAGAGGAAACAATGAGCAGCTCATTCTATTGATTAGTGAGGTACCTGGAGTTTGTTCAATAGCTAGTGGAATCAAAAGCACAAAGATGCTAGCTTTTTATTCCCGCATCCGGATCTCAGCATGGCTTGATCCTTCCTTTGCTTTGGAGACCCTTGGTCTTGAAAGGGCTTTTCTTTCTTCTGTGGCTTGTGTTGCTTGATGCTGGGCTAAGTGTTACTAGAGTGCTAGTGAGGATAGGAACTCCAAAAGCAAATTTTGGGTTTCTCTCTATTTTTCCTGACATTACATGTTGTGGCTGTAGGGAGAGAGAGTGCCAACAGAGGCAATATCTACAAGTCTACCATAGTTATTAGCCAATATGATATCTACATTGAGCCTGTCCGTCATCTGGAAACATGCTGTGTCATTGTTTTATGTTATTATAATTCTCTTCCCTTAGTCAACTGCTTTGGGTTTCATTAAGTCAGTGGCGGAGCCAAAATTTCTAAGTGAAGGGGGCCAAGATTATACTTATGTATTACTTTTACTTAAAAAAAAAAAAAAAAAAAAAAAAAAAAAAACAAATTTTGTTAGCTATAAGATTTGATCTCTTGACAACTTGCATACTATGACATGGAAAAACCAACTCCTCTATACCAAAGTTAATGACAATGAAGAGCAAATTTAATTAATATTTTGAGCCAAGGGGGAGGCCAAGGCCCCTGCCCAGCCCCTCCTTGGCTCCGCCCCTGCATTAAGTTATTATGATTTTTGACTTTCAATGGGCTTGATCATGACAGTTTAATTTCATGGAATCAAAACCCAATGACCCAACTGTGTAATATTAATTGCTGCTGTCGCATTATTATTTCATGCCTTTCACCTTTAGGATGCATAGTATACACACTTTTTACTTTCTGTAGTTGAATTTCGCATTTAGTAGCATACTTTTTGGTACCAGAAAACATATAATCAAATTAGGCATTATCTCCGAGGCTGTGGTGAGAGCGGAGCTACTTTAGGTGGGGTACTGAAAGCCTTTTCAAGTATATGCTGTGATGAAAGTGTAACCACCTTTTGTGATGAAAGACTTTTTAGTCAAATTTGTCATCCATCTTGACCTATGATTTTTCTAGGGCTGATAGCTTGTCATGGATAGTCTATAGTTAGACAACAGATGTGTTACTGTCCCCCTTCCCCTGCTTAACCTATCATGATTGTTGCTTGGATATTCAAAATCAACTCTCAATTTACCTTGAAGTAAATTATATATACTATGTATGTCATATACATAGTACATAACTTTAGCCTCTTCTTGTGCTGGGATAGGAGTTTCCATGGAAATAGCAGATATATAGCTACTTCAGGTTGGGTTTGGCTCTAATCTTAGGGTTGTCTAATGAGTTGAATCTGGAAGGTATACCTAGTTCTGATGAGGTACAGTTTAGATATTAGTTTTGATACTTTAAGAGGTTAAGCATGGACACTTGTAATATCAAAACAAGAAGAAAATCCAACTGATTTACGCAAAATGAAATTCTGCTTGGAATGCACACTAATTTTGAATATTGTCCATGTGTTTATGAAGTAGTAGTGATCTCATTTGTTTAACACTTGAGACATTGATTTCAAATTAGAAATTAGGAAACTCCATTAAAGAAAGTAAATACTTTTTACTTCTGCTTGAAAATCAGATAAATGCAGCGGAAAAGCATATTATTTCTACAAATTCATTTTGTAGTTATACTGACCATTTTAGTTGTTGCTCAAGTATTATAGGAGGACCTCTGTTTTTAATTAGGCTCATGGAGCATCTTTATTTGTGTAATTAACTAATTAGTAATTACTGCCAAGTTTTGTACTTTTACATTCCCCTGCCTACTATCTCCCCCTCACCCCAAAACTCCAAAATCTTACAAAAAGGATAAAGATAATGTAGACAAAAGAAAGCAAATCTGAAACTCAATGCCATTTGTTTAAGTTATTATTATTTCTTCATTTGGATGGTGCATTTATGTGTTTTGTGTTTAGCATAAACTCTTTTCCTATCTATGGTGACAGGATTTGCTACTCCTCTATAGCAAGGCCTTCAATTTGAATCCAGTAGCGGACATGGTGGATGTATGAATTGGCGTCTTTTTAGTTAGACCACACTTTTGGATGACAAAGCGAGAAGGTTAATCATATATTTTTGAGATTTTGAACTTTTAATACAATCTGAACCTGTTGTTTGCCAGCAGGCTGCTTGTTAGCACTGAATTTTGGAGAAAGAATTCAATCATGTAAAGATTTGGTTTTCACATTCTCAAATTTCTCAAAATAATTTCAATAAAAAAACTAAAAACATAATCTGTAATCATTTTAGTGCTGAGTGTTGTTTTAAAAGCTTTTGCTCAGCTTCCCCTCCCAGCAGGTTATTTATGTGCATCACATGTATTGATGCCAAGCTGAGGGCTGCCTCCTGTATTTAGTACAGGCAAAGCTATTCTTTTTAAGATTGAATATCAAATCCATAAAGGTCAGATTATAGTGAGCAGTGTTAATGCACACGTAAGATACTTCTTCCGAAAAAAAAGGACTCAATCCAGATTTTGGATTTAGCACCTGATATTTGATCTTTGCTAAGCCTAATACTCGTAAATCACAATAGTTGTGAAGGGTAAGTAGAGAATGTACTGCTGTATGATAAAATGGTAAGTATAGAATGTACTGCTGTATTTGATCTTTGCTAAGCCTAATACTCGTATATCACGTAAGATACTTCTTTCGAAAAAATTGGCTCTAATCCGTGCACGAAGTCTTGCACTGCTGTATGAATGTACGATAGGCTTGAGAATCCATGTACTAATTGGTGTATTGATCTGTCTGAGAATCTCCTCTCCCTAATTGGAATGTTCTACAATAAGGAGTGTTGTTAATCTGTTATTTCTCTACTAAATCAATATTGGATTTGGCTAGTGGTTGACTTAATCCTTTTAATTAGGAAAGGGGTAGATGAACAAAGATTTTACCTAAATTAGGCTCATAACAAATCAACAAAGTTTGCTTTGCTAGACTTTTTTGCCAACTATTGTATTTGACATATTCTGTATATTATGAATAATTTGAAGAGACTATTTCAATTAGTTTAATAAACGTGGTTAGTTGTCTAAAACCTGTTCAATATAATAATTCTAATTGTGTAGTTGACATAACCTAAACATAGTTCTTCTCAACGACTTAGCAAGTTAGGAGGCATATGTATACCATTTCCATTCCGTTGACATTCACTGATTCTTGCAATGGATAAGGATGGTCATGTTTTTGTTAGACCTACTTCATAATGAATCTATATTATTGCTTCTAGTTAAAAAGGTATTTACTAACACATTAGACATAAACAGTGGCGGATCCACGGTGGGTTCAAGTGGGTTCATTGAACCCACTGATTTTTCGGGAAAAAAAGGTTTGTTTGTTTCTTTCTTTTTTTTTTATTTAATTTTTAAAAATAGAAAAATAAATAAATAGAATTTGTGTGCATAAGTAATATAGGAAAAAAAAGCGCAGATCAGTGGTAGCAAGGGTTTGGTTTGTGCGCTAGGCCGCCCCTATAGGTCTGGGGTTCGACTCTCAGCCTCACATCATTTATTTTTTTCCCCTTTTTTTCAAATTTCTCCTCTAAACTCTTAATATTACCACTTGAACTTTAAAAATAATTTCCCCTCTTTTCCTTTACCCTCACTACCTTCTCCAAATTTTTTTCAGTTTCACCTCAAAACTCTCATGTATACTTGTTTTTCTAAAGCCTTTTTATTTATTCCCCCTTTTTTTCAATTTCTTCTCTAAACTCCTAATATTACCACTTGATGAAAGCCCGAATGCTTATATAAGCAATTTTAATTTTTTTTCCCCCTTTTTGATATCAACTTTGTATATTTATTACAAAAATGTAATTTAAGATATTTAAGTAATAGAATGTGCATTGGCAAGCGTGAAATCATCAACAGTGCAAAAAAAAAAAAACGAAGGAGCTATATCTTATTATTTGATGATTCGAACCCACACTTCTGACTTCCTGGATACGCCACTGGACATAAATACATAATATCGACACCATGTCTTCAAAATTTTAGCTCTACCACTGCATTTTGACATAACAAATAGGTTAGTCATAAACTCATAACATAATAACTACACTTTTTTGTTGATAAAAATCACCTATCTATCGTGGATCGTTTTATTATATTTGTAGGTGGTGAGAACCATCGAAATCCGAAAGAGTAACAAAAATATTACTCCAAGTCACAAATTTTACTACTTTTGTCACCATTAACGTAAACTTGTAATTATTTTTATTTTTTTTACTAATTTAGATGTGATCCACACTAATCACAATTTCTTTTTGTTTATATTACTCCAAGTCACAAAGTAATTAATGTAAAGAAAGATAAAATTACTACACATTTTTCAGTGCACAACTTAAGTGGGATTACTTTTCCCTAATTAGAACCTAAGCAAAGTCAAAATAAAGCCAAAGCTCAACAAACCCACATTAATTAGCAGCTCCATTTTAATAATTCAAATACAATCATGATCCGAAACCCTCTCACCGCTCGACATGTGACCGTTGCGGCAACGTTCTAAAACCATTTTTAAATTTACTCACGCTCTCTTTTTCTCTCTCATCTGCCTTCTTTACCGTTACTCTCACCACCTAATTCAACTTCCCCAAAAAAAAGAAAAAAAAAAAAAACAAAAAACAAAAATTTTACTACTTTTGTCACCATTAACGTAAACTTTTAATCCTCTGATAACCCCAATATTTTATAGATGATTTGAAAGTAAGAGATTTTCTAAAACCCCAAATTTTCAATTTTTTTCTAAAAAATCTCAAAAACCCATCTTTGATTTGCCCTGTTTCTTGATTAAAATTTTTCAATTTAGCACTCTAAATTGGGAGTTAAACCTTAAAGATTTCTAATTTAAGGTATACTTTGATCAATTCTTTAGTTTCTTGGTTGAAGAATGGCAACATTAGCACCAGGGGTTCTAGTAAAACTTCTTGATGGTTTAAAAACAGGGGTGAAACCCACGGGTGAGCACCGGAGCTCACTTCTTCAGGTAACCGATATCGTACCGGCCGAGCTCGATGAGAAGAATCTATGGCCTAAACATGGATTCTACATCAAAGTATCCGATTCTTCACATTCCATTTATGTCAGCCTACCTTATGAGCAAGATGATCTTGTTTTAAGCAATAAAATGCAGCTTGGTCAGTTCATTTATGTGGAGAAATTGGAGCCTGGATCGCCTGTTCCGATAGCAAAAGGCGCTAAACCGCTACCGGGTAGACACCCTTTTATGGGTACTCCGGAACCCTTGATGGGTCTTAGAGGAAAGAAAGAAAAAACTGAGCAAAAAGTGGTGATCAATGGAACTCCAAGAAGAGGTTCTTGGGAATTGAATCAAAGTAATGGGTTTGATGGAAATATTATTACTTCTCCCAAATTAAAACCTGTTCCTTTAGATTTTGATCAATGTACTCCAATGAAAGAAAAGGGTAGTGCTGTAAAATTTCATCCTCCTCCAATGTCTCCTATGGTTAGGTCAGTAAAAATGGTAAAAGATCATTGTAATTCAGGAATTAGGGCTTCTGTTGGGGGTAATTTGCTGTCTTCAAAGTTTGATTCAAGGGGTGAAAGTCCTGGTTTGATTAGGAAAAGTTGTGTGACACCCACTACTTTGAAGTTTCCAAGGAGTAAAAGTGTCAATGAAAGAGGGCCAAAGAATACTTCCACTCCTAATAAATCTGTAGGTACATTGCTCTTTCGAGTTTAATGTTATGCTGCGTATCGTTGTTTGTTTTCAATTTTCGTGTTTTTGATTTTATATGTTGTGTGATAAAACTAAAAACTTACAACGATATCGAATGGACCCGTAAAATGTTGACTATGTGAGATATATAAATGTGCAAATTGCTGATAAATTGGTTGTAATTATGCAGGATAAGAAAAGTTGTACACCTCCACCAAGTCTAAGGAGAGATGGGGGTTGTGTGAATTCAGCAGTAAATATGCAGAATTCTGCCAGTTCAAAGGCAACCCCACAACAGTTACAATCACAATCTAGTAACCCAACCTTTAATTCTAACAGTGGCACAAGTTTATCAGTAAATTTACCAGGAAAGCTTGCTATGCTTGGCAAAGTAAGTTGTTTAATTTTGATCTTTAATTGTTGATTGAGGTGAACAATTTGTTCAGTTCTGACTGTTTTTGCTGTGTCTTTTTTTGCATATCAGGAAGCCGTTCAGCAGAGAGAACGAGCTCAAAAGATTGCGTTTCAGGCGTTAAGACAGTCTACCGCGACAGACAATGTTGTCCGCTGCCTCAAGTAAGAATCACACTGATTTTGTTCTCCGTTGCTCAAAATTAGTTGTCACATTATCCTAACCTTTTGTATAGTGATTGTACGGAATGATAAGTTATGACACTAAAGTAATCCTCCCAAGTCCCTTTATTTATGATAGATTGCTAGTGGTGTTATTTCTATTTTAGTGTTATTCCTATAATTGGTAGTGGCATTTTAGGAAATAGGAGAGTATTTTTTCTAAACTTGGAGTGTTAATTTCAATATTGATCATTCATCAATAACATACTTCATGTAAACAAACAAAGACTAAATGTTAAGGGCTTGTTTTGCAGGATGTTTTCGAATTTGAGCAAATCAGCAAAGGCAGATGCACCAGCAGCCTGCTTTGATCAGTTTCTGGAATTTCAAAATCAAATTACACAAGCAGTGACTGACATGGTGTCAATTCAAGCAGCAGCTTCCACCCTCGAAACCAAATTAGAAAAAGAAGACGGTCCAATCTTACACGAAATAACACATAATTCCATGGACCGATTCCACGACAATGAACCAAACAGCACCTCTAAGAGAAGACTAGCCTTGTACAAGTCCATTGCATCATTTCCTGAAAGGGTGAGTGAAATTCAGAAACCAAGTAACAATGGGAGGGTCTTAAGGTCACATTCAAAACCGAGTTTGGACAAGAAAGGAGAATGCAACAACTTCGAAAATGATGAAAACAAGCAGCCTGGTGCAGATTCAGGGTGCTTAAGCAGCATGATCAAGCTGTGTAAGCAGATAGAATCAGAAGCTGGGAGTTGGTTTATGGAGTTTATAGAGAAGGCACTCGAAATGGGATTGAAGAAATCGAAAAGCAGATCTGATGCTGATGTTCGAAAAGTTCCTCAAGCACTTATCCTTAAGGTTATGAACTGGGTTGAGGTTGAGCAAAGTGATTCTAGCAAGAGACCAGTTCATCCTAAGGCTTCTCAAATTGCAAGGAAATTGAGAATCAAAGTGAAGAACCCTTAATTCTTTGGAATAGTTGGGATTCTTTTCATTGCATATTGTAATATGATTCAATTCAATGGTATTGAAATTATGATCATTCTTTTATTTGTTGTAGATCAATTTATGAGTGGTGATTTTAGATTGTAAAATAAGATCAATTGTTGATTAGTGTTTAAGATGACAATGAACTTGTGTGTTGTTAGGAGTTAAGATGACAATAAACTTCTGTCATGCCTAAAGGAACTTGGCCCAATTGGACCTTCTTTGTAATACTAACACTATAAAGGAGTTGATTCTTGGTTGTCCATATGGTTTGTTCTGCTTGGTAATTTTAGGTGAATTAGAGATCATTTTTTTATTGATTGTCTTAGAGTTGATACTAGTGGGTATTTTTGTATTTGATATAAAAGTAAATGTTAAAAAAATAGTAATAAAAAAAAATAAAAATAACTCCTTATAATCCATACTTGAATTATAGATTATAAGATCAATGAGGAGTTGTCATCAAAGTTTTCAAATATTGACTCTAAATATTACATTGTCATTGTTCGGTAAAGAGGTGTTTGGAAAGCTTTTAGCTTATCGAGCCATATTAGAGGTTTGATAATTTAAAAAGCTTATATGGGTGTTTACCCGATTGGTAATTGATTTATGAAAAAAGTTTTTTGGGCTCAAAAAACTCTTTCAGTTGAAGCTCATTATGGCCTTGTTTGGTAAATGTCATGTTTGGTAATTAGAATTTTGACCAAAAATGAGCTTATTTGACCAAGTTATAGGTTTGACTACAAAAATCATCTAATTTGATTGTTTGGTAAAAGAGCTTATTTAAAGAGTTGATTGGGACAAATCAGCTAATTTGTAAGAAGCTAAAAAATAGAGCCTTTTCATATTAGCTTATTGAGATATGGTTTCCAAATGACACTCTTATCCTAAAAAGTTACTCTAATTTACAATGTCAATGCCCTAAAAAATGTCAATGTCTAAAATTGTCATTTAATATGTTCAACTAACAAAACAGCTATATCTAATCAAATAATTTTACCAAATAATTTTATACAAATAGATTAATACAATCAGCTAGTCAAACAGGCTAATACAATCAGCTAGTCAAACCAGCTAATGTAATCAGCTTTTATCAATCAGCTTCGCTAATTACAAAATAGGGCAAAAGTGTTTTTTTTGAAAAACTTTTAGCTTATTGAACATTATTGGAGATTTCACCTTTTAAAAAAATAAATTTGTGTGTTTGGTAAATAGCTTATTAAAAGAGTTTTTTAAGGTTAAAAAACCCATAGCCATTAGCCACCCCTAAACCCGCACCCAAAATCGTCTGCCAAAGAATTTAAACACTCCACTATGGGTTCTATGGGCGGTTGAATAATGTTCGGTGGGTTGGGGAATGGCTTAGTGGTGTGGTGGAAGACTTGGTGGTTCAAGGGTGGTCATTAGATGCTGGGTGTTTTTTAAACTATTGATTAAAGATGATAAATTTTAATTAAAATTTTTAATAATGATAGGAACTTGTACAATTAACTTTAACAAGCTAAGAGGTACACGCATATAAAAAATTAGAAGAAAAAAAAAAACAAAAAAATTTAAGAGCGGTTTTACAGTTGAAGATATACATTTATGTGAAAGAAGTGGAGCAGTTATTATAGGGTAGTTATGATAGGTAGTTTTATTTATTTATTTATTTATTTAAATAATGGTTATGTTTATGAGTAGTTATGATAGGATAATTTTTTTTTAATAAAAAATAATTTTTAACTGTGGGTAAATAATGTAATTTTAAAAAAATATAAGGGTATTTTAGGAAAAACAAAATTTATCGACGAAGAAGTGCTTTATCTTTATATAGGGCGTGTTCGACGTTAACAAAAAATGTGAGTGTTTGGCAAAGTAGTGGTTAGGGTAGTTTTTAGTGGTGGAGGTAGCTTTTGTGAAAAGTTAGAAACATTGGGCGTGTTCGGCGCTAGCTTTTGAGTAGCTTTTAGTGGTTTGACCAAGTCAAACCACTACTCAACAAAAAATGTGAGTGTTTGGCAAAGTAATGGTTCAAGTAGCTTTTAGTGGTGGAGGTAGCTTTTATTAAAAGCTAGGATTATTAGCTTTTGAAGTTAGAGGTAGCTTTTTAAAATTTAATATATAGTTTTAAAAATAAAATATTGATTCTTAAATGTAACAGCTAGTCAACCACTACTTTACCGAACAATCATACCTAAATTATCTTTTTTCACAGCTAACAGCTTGTTGACAGCTAACAACTATCTCTACAGCTCACAGCTATCTCCACAGCTCACAGCTATCTCCACAGCTACAACTACCTTCACAGCTACATTTTGCCGAACATGCCCATTAACTTTTGAAATTAGAGGTAGCTTTTCAAGTAGCTGTTGAAAATTTAATCTATAGTTTTAAAAATAAAAAATTGATTTTTATATGTAACAGCTAGTCAACCACTACTTTACCGAACACTCATATTTAAATTATTTATCTTCACAGCTAATAGCTTGTTGACAGCTAACAACTACCTACACAGCTAACAGCTACCTCCACAGCTACAGCTACCTTCATAGCTATATTTTGCCGAACACGCCCATAGTACTATAGATAAGAGTACACGCTATGCGTGTACCATATAAAAAATTAGAAGGAAAAAAAAAACTTAAGAGCGGTTTTACAGTTGAAGATATACATTTATATGAAAGAAGTGGAGCAGTTATTATAGGGTAGTTATGATAGGTAGTTTTATTTATTTATTTATTTAAATAATGGTTACGTTTATGAGTAGTTATGATAGGACAATTTTTTTTTTTAATAGAAAAATAATAATATTTAATTGTAGGTAAATAATGTAATTTTAAAAAAATAAAAGGGTATTTTAGGAAAAACAAAATTTATAGACGAAGAAGTGCTTTCTCTCTGTATAGTACTATAGATCCATAGATGAATAGGTTACTATTAGGTCGGTCATGATTCATGTTAAGAAATAGATCACTCACCACCTCCTTTTTTTATTTATTTTTTTTTTTTTTTGAAAACACTCCTTTTTTAATGGCAAAAAAAAAAAAAAGTCAAGGTCGCATCTGGCTGCCCATAAAAAAATAAAGGACACGTAGAAGGCAAAAAAAAGAAAGTTTATTTTAAAAAATCCAACTCACCGACTTTCGGAAATCGCGTGAAAATTCCAGAAAGCGCGTCAAATATAGAAACCTTAACCGCCTCATCCACCTTATAAATACCCCCTCAAAACCCTCCTCTTCTTCATTATATCTTTTATGCTCTGTATTTTGCTTCGTCTTCTGTCTTCGTCTCTCTCCGTTTTATTTTCTGCTTCGCTGTTTTTGCGTTTTATCGTCTTGCGTAATTTGTGATCGGGATTCTGTTTATTTGAATTGATGATTGTAGGGTTTTGATCGTTTTCTATCTTGATTGTTGCTGCTTTTCTTTGGATTGATCGGTATTCTGTTTGCGGGATTTGTAATCGTTTGGTTGAGGATTCAATTTCGTTGAAGAACTGGGGTTTGATTTGTGATTTGATTTAATTTTAATTATCAATTTCTACGATTATCTACGAATTCGGTCGTTTCTTTTCTGTGATTGTGATCCTGCAGTTGCTTCTTGGAGGTTGATTTATTGGTGGTGATCAAGTAGGTTTTTTTTGGTTGATTTTATTGCCGAATTTCGTCAAAGGTTTGCGCTTATTTTGATGCTGATTGGTTACCAAATTTTTCGAATTAGGGTTTTTGGTTGGTTTTTGTAGAGCATGCAATAAATCGGTCTTCAATTAGTTGATGGTTGATTTCGTTTCCAAAGATCGTCATAAAGGTTTGCGCTAATTGATTGGTCTGTTGAAGTGGTTGATTACCAATTTTTTCGAATTAGGTTTTTTTTGGGTTTGATTTTTGTTGAGCATTCAGTTGCGTACTCGCTTTTGATTTGTGGGTGATCATGTTAAGGTTTGGGTTATCAATTGAGGTTTGATCTGTCGCGCTGATTGATTATCAATTTTTTCGATTTTGGGGTTATTGGTTGAATTATTGTTGATTTCGTTTCCCAATATCATCTCAAAGGTCTGCAGGATGGGTGTTTAGTTTCCTCTAAAGCTGTTTTGATTTGCCGTTTTGACTGGTTCCGAATTATTGGTGTTTCTAGTGGCATAATATTTTGCAGATTTTCGAACAATCTAGCTGTCGCTGTGAAATACTACCAATTATCACCAAAAATCATCCACAAGTCTAGATAATTTGGGTAAAAGTTTAAATTTTTACATAACAAATTTGATTTTGAAGTAGTTGGACTTGATATTGGTTATTGATTAATTCGTGAAGATTATTATTATTGCATAGTGACTAATTTGGTTAATTAGCTGATACCAAGACTTACAAGGAAAAAAATTACATTGCGAGGAGGACTCAGTGGTTGGGTATTTGATTGAGGTTTATTAGCTGATACTAATTTATTGTTGGAATTTTTCTGTCTTGCCTTGCTTGTTTGCTGTTAAATTATTAGTGATCAAGTCGGTTGCCTTTATTTGCTAAAAGGTTTGCTTATTGTTGGAGATTTCTATTTGTTTGGTGATATGGTTGCTTCTTGACAGTTGAATTACTGGTGATCAGGTTGTTGTACTTCTATGAAAAGGTTTGTCCTGATTTGGTGTCATGATTTGCTTAAAGGTTTTGACTTCTTTATTTTGCTTGTTGTTGCTTTAGCTCTTGCAGATGTTTTGTGTAGGTTTATGCTTAGTGTTTGAATCGTCAAGTAGGTTATTTGTTGATTTCATGGCCAAATTTCTTCAAAGGTTTGTGCTTATTGATGATTGATCAGGACTTCAGGAGTGCTGATGGGTAACCAATTTTTATGAATTAGGGTTCTTTAGTTTGATTTTTGTAGATCATGCAGAAGTTAAATAATCGTTATTCAAGTACGTTGTCTGTCGATATCGTTGATCATTAAAGAGGTTTGCGCTATGATATGATATATCAATAGATTGGATTGATTACCAATTTTTTTCGAATTCGGTTTTTAGTTTGGTTTGATTCTTTTTGAGCATGCTGTTGCTTATTGGCTGTTGAATAATCGGTGATCACCTTGGATGAATGTAAAGGTTTTGCGCTATTTGATACTTGAAGTTGCTTGTTGGCTGTTTTATAATTGGTGATCAAGTTGGCTGAATAAAAAGGTTTGGGTTAATTGAGGTTTGATTATCACGCTGATTGAATATAAAATTCTTTGAATTTAGGGTGTTTGGTTTGATTTTTGATTATCAGAAAGGCTTGCAGGTATTGGTGTTTGATCTGTAGAGCTGTTTTGATTTGACGTTTTGTCTGTTGCTGCACTGTTTTTTGTTACATAAAAGTGTTGCAGGAGTTATGGGCAGCTACTTTTGCAGTTTTTGGACAATCATGCTGCTGTGATAATTACCAGTTATCACCAAAAATTATCCACAAACCTATCTTGACCAAAAAAAATTGGGTAAATGTATAAATTTCTATATAACTAATCTGATTTGTAGTAGTTTAACTTGGTATTAATTTATTTCTGATTAGTGATTAATTTTTATGAATATTATTATTGTTAGTGGTGCTTTTTAGTGACTAAAATGTCTAACTAACCTGACACGAGACTTGCAAAGAAAAAATTGCCTTGCGGTGAGGACAGAATGGATGGGTAATTTATTGAAGTTTGAGGTTTGATTTCTTTATAATCAGTTAATTTATTGGTGGAGTTTCCTTTGCCTTGACTTGCTTCTTTGCTGTTAAATTATTGGTGATCAAGTAGGTGGTTGTTATTTGCTCTAAGGTTTGCTTATTACTGGATATTTCTTTTTAGTTGGTTATGTGGTTATTTGTTGACAGTTGAATTGTTGATGATCAAGTTGGTGTTGTAATATTCTTTAAGGTTTGTGTTGATTTGGTTTCACGATTTGCTTAAAGGTTTTGGCTTCTTTATTCTGCTTGTAGTGGCTTTAGCTCTTGCAGATGTTAAATGTGTGTTTACTTAATTGCTTTCGGCCACCCAAAGTCTTGTGAATTTGTTTACTCATGTCATGATGAAGTGATGGGCCTGATTGTGTACAGTAGTAGGGTGTCATTGTATACTTGTAGATTAATTACTCGAACATTTGATGATGGTGTGGTTGAGGTTCTTTGGTTCCTTGAGTTTGGGTGTGGGACTCTGAAGTTTTCTGTTTTATGATGGTTTAATTGGAATTTTGTTTGCAGTATGCTGGCTTTTATGTGTTCTATTCTTGTTCAATCATGGACCTAATTTGCTGCTTCTTATGGATTGGTCAGTATAATATCTGTGGCAGTTGTGATCTTTCAAATTTAATTCCGCCGAAGAATTTGGGGTTTGATTTATTTTTATGTTTGAAATTTAATTTCTATGAATTCCTCCAAGTTATGTTTTTTTCTTATTTATGATCATTAGCATCCAGTGGCTTCTTGGTGTTAGAATCCTCAGTGATCAAGTATGTTTTTTTGTCGATTTTGTTGCCAAATTTTGTCAAAGGTTTGCCCTTATTGATGCTTGATCAACTTGGGTAACCGTTTTTTTTGGAATTAGGGTTTTTTGGTTTGATTTCTTGTTGAGCTTGCAGTTGCTTATTAGCGGTTGATTAATCGGGTGATCAAGTTGGCTGAATAAAAACGTTTTATGTTAATTGAGGTTTGATCTATTGCGTTGATTGATTAAATATTTCTTCGAATTTGGGGTTTTTGGTTTAACTTTTGAAGTTTGGCATGACGAAGATGTTCAGAAGGGTTTGCTGGATTGGTGTTCGATCTCTAGAGTGGTTTCGATTTTTAGTTTTGACCATTGCTGTGTTGTCTCTTGTCGTAAATTTTTTTGCAGTTTTTCGGATAATCAAGCTGTTGCTGTAAAAGACGATTACCAAAAATTACCCTCAAACCTTTATTAACCAAAAAATTTGGGTAATAGTTTAATTATTTATATAACAAATTTGATTATGAAGTAGTTGGACTATGTAATTTATTATTGATTAGTGATAAATTGTTAGGAATATTATTATTTCTTAGTGCTTTTCAGTGACTAATTTGGTTGACTACCTGATAACTGAACCATGCAAAGAAGTTTTTCATTGCGCCGATGAGGATTGAATGGTTGGTATTTGATTGGAGTCTGAGGTTTGTAATCTTATTTGTTAACTGTTTATTGTTGGATTTTTTTTTTTTTTTTTTTGTCTCGACTTGTTTCTTTGTGGTTAAAAATATTAGTGATCAAGTTCGTTGTTGCGATATGCTCAATTGTTTGCTTATTGTTGGGGATTTTGCTCTGTTTGGTCATGTAGTTGCTCTTTGGCGGTTGAATTAATGGTGATCAAGTTTGTGTTGTGATTTGGTTAGAGGTTTGCGCTATATTATTTTGATACACAATACTGGGAGATCGATTTCTTGTTGAACATCTGATGATGGTGTATGGTTGATGTTAAATTTTATAAGCAAATGGTTCTGCTTTTAGTTTTTTTTTTTTTTTTTTTTGGTCTCTTGTAGTCCTGTTTGATCATAGACCTAATTTGCTACATTTGTGTGGCTGAATACTGTAAATGACTCTTGTAAAACCTTTCCTTGCGACTTTATACCCGTTATTGTCTTCTTTAGGTATTTATTTATCAATCATGAAGTAATGTCTTGAGTTGTTATTTTGTTGTGATAGATATCGCCTCAGTGTTGCACGCTTGCTGGAGATTACAATGATTCGTTTCTACTTTCTACTGTGTTATTTACAGCTAGTATGGCATTAGGAAAATTCAATTGTTAAGTATTTCTTTTTTGTGAGTGAATTAGTTTCAGCTTCCTGGTATGTGTGCTTATCCTTATAATGTTAATTTATTTATTTACTTTAAAATTTGTTGTTATTGTGATTTTTTTTCAATTAGCTTGTGGTGTGAAGCATTTGGCAATTCTCATGGTCAGTGATGGTTGGTAAGAGATGATTTAAGGTGTAGACTGTAGAACCAGTTTCTTAGCCTGCTAATGTCTTCGTGACTCCTAGTGTGCTTCATGAATTACTCAAATGTTTTTAATGTTTATGAAGGTATGTGATAGTTTGTGGCAGACTAAAGAATTTTATCACTTATAATTTTGGTATGATTCATTTAATTATTTGCTGGAGTATTTTTTATTTTTTTTGTATGTTTTTAATTGCATATTTCTATGTAGTTTTAGAGTTAACTTGGAAGTGGAGAACTTTGTTTTTCTTGCAGACACTGCACTATTTTAAAAAATTGATGGTTTGATACACTTTACGAAAGCAGTCAGGTTTTGCTTGTGCTTTGATGGTTTTAAGATGTGTGGTATTTTGTATCTCAGAAGTGCCTGTGTTTGCTTGTGATTACACAGATTGATTTCTACTCTTTCCAAGTGATGTGGTATTGGATTTATTTCGTGAATGCTAACATTGTGTTGCGACTTTTTTTTTTTTTGTCAATTTCTAATTTCTGCATTCTGATGTGGTGATATACGCTTATTGTCTTTCTTTGATTTTAACTTGCGTGGTATTAGCTTGTGTAGTGAAGCATTAGGTGTAAGTCGAAGTGGTATAGTGCACTGCAGATTTAAGTGTTTTTCAGGTAGACTCCTCCTTTTGAAGGTGGTAGTGTTATTCGTGTACCACGATGTCTTTTGGCTTGCTCTAAATTTGTTATTTTCCTTAAGAGGGGGGGGGGGGGTAAGTGGTTTGGGGACCTCATGACATATTTGGTGTTGTATTTATGTTCTGTAACTTAAATTTCATTTTTGTTATGCGTTTTGTTTATAATTGGTTTGTTGTGAAGCATTTGGCAGTACTCATAGTCGGTGATCATGATTGATTATAGGTATCCAACTGTCGAGGTAGTTACTTTTCTTGATGCCTTTTCTTTAGTCCTTGACTCCTTGTATTCTACATAGATTTGCTTGGCTTACATATTATTAGTGTTTTGTATATGTCCAACTGAACAATTTTATGTTAATAAATTTTCCTGTTTGCCCTTTTTCTGTATGTGTGTGCGTGTGTTAATAATAATAAATGCAGAGTTTTGTGGTTTGTTTCTAGTGCAGATACCACACTTTTTGGTAGAATTTGATGGAGTTATACTTAAAAGAATTTTATGATTGGTAATATATCAATATGGCTGTATGCCTGTATTATTTTAGTTTTAAATTTTATTTTCGCATAGTTTTAAGTGACTGCTGGAGTTGAGTGAATGGAAGTGGAGAATTTTGTTGTTTGTTTGTTCTTGCAGATTTACAGTCATAAGTTTTGGATAATCTGATTCCTTCTTCACATCTGTGGTGACCTGTATTCTTCCTATTATCAATTGTCTTACTTTTGGCAATCACACCTAAATGACAGAAAAGAATTGACAAAGTTCTATTATTTATTTATTAATTAATTATTAATTATCATTTATATATAATTTATTATTTATTTATTATTTATTATTTATTATTTATTATTTATTATTTATTATTTATTATTTATTATTTATTATTTATTATTTATTATTTATTATTTATTATTTATTATTTATTATTTATTATTTATTATTTATTATTTATTATTTATTATTTATGTTTATTTTATCGTTTATCGTTTATCGTTTATCGTTTATCGTTTATCGTTTATCGTTTATCGTTTATCGTTTATCGTTTATCGTTTATCGTTTATCGTTTATCGTTTATCGTTTATCGTTTATCGTTTATCGTTTATCGTTTATCGTTTATCGTTTATCGTTTATCGTTTATCGTTTATCGTTTATCGTTTATCGTTTATCGTTTATCGTTTATCGTTTATCGTTTATCGTTTATCGTTTATCGTTTATCGTTTATCGTTTATCGTTTATCGTTTTATCGTTTATCGTTTATCGTTTATCGTTTATCGTTTATCGTTTATCGTTTATCGTTTATCGTTTATCGTTTATCGTTTATCGTTTATCGTTTTATCGTTTATCGTTTATCGTTTATCGTTTATTATTTATTATTTATACCTGTTCCTTTGCTTCTTGATGTTGAATTTTTGGTGTTGCGGTAGGTTTGCTCTTCTTGTAACTGATGATTGTTGCAGTTCAGGGATATTGACTGAAACAATGGCAGCAAAAACTAATTACTTTGATAAGTACTCGTTCCCTTTGCAGGATGTTAGTTTACGTTCAGTTCTTTTTAGTTTGAACCAACCCTGCTTTTAATTTCTTGTTTTATTCCTGGATAGGGAATTGGTGGATGAGCAATTTTGATGTAGCCAAAAAATCCCTTTTCCTTCTTCTGTAAGTAGGTTGAGTCTGCTGGAAAGATTTGGAAATAGGTTTTTGGTATATTATATTGATCTATTGAGCTGTTTGATTAGGTTAGGTGGTTCTTTCATTTTGCTGTTCAACTTGTTGTGCTGCTTGTAGTCATAAATTTTTGCTGAGGCTTTCTTATCCTGCTGCTTCATGTTGGCCTTGCAGAGCTGTCTCTTGCTTCTATGATGATTGGGTAAATTATAACGAATGATTGAGTTAATTTTGGATTCCGCAGTTTTTCAATGGGGTCTTTGATGATGATGGTAGACTTCTTACTGACGTCATTGGAATTTTATTACAGCAATTTGTTGGCATTGGAATGGTGTTATGGTTTTCCTTTTAGTGGCATGTGTAAGAATACATCTGTTAAAACACCTGCTTATGATTTTGATTTCTGACCTTGAAAGGAGTTGGCATCTTAATTTGAAGGCAAGCTGAGTATTGAATTTATGTGTATCATTGTCCTGGGTGTTTATACTGTGGTTGGTTCTGTTAGATGCAGGGTTTAATATGTCTGTTACAGATTTTGCAGCTTGAAAGTCCTTGATTAAGGGGTTGCTGTTATGTAATATCTAGCATTTCCAGTATTTTACAAGGGTTGATTTCTTGTAGTTCAGACCGAGTCGTGTGTTGCTTCTTGTCTTCCTTTCCTGCTCGGCAACAAATGTGTGAGGCAACTTTGGGAGTTCAATAAATGAGTTGGCGGATGGTTGTGTTCTACATGTCTACCTCTACAATTTTGTGATTATGAACATACAGCTCTGTTTTCATCGAACCTGTTCGTTCTGTTTCAAAGTTCATATTATAATGCCATGGATCTTTAGTAGCTGTTTATCTCTAGGTGCATGTGAATGATATGCTGCCTGCATCAGGGTTTTATATTTTGTTCTGTGGCTTACCTGCTTGAGGATAATAAAGTTCAGCTCTGCTTTGACGCTTTGACATTGACATTGGATGTACTTGTTAAGAGGCCTGATGGTGATTGTAGTGGGGTCCAACTGTCCCAACTGTTTTAGTTTTAGGCACCCAATATCTTGTGGTGAGGTCAGTTGTTTTTTTTAGTTTTGGGCTAGATGGTGAATTGGTGATTGATGTGCTATGATTATGAGTTCATAATTCTTATCTTCTGGTTTGAAGGCCTGTCCTGTAGTGGTGGTAGTACACATGTGACATGTTTAGTTTTTTCTCTCTTGAACTACATTTTCCTCTACTTTAGGTTCATTCTTATTGTATCCATCTCTAGGTGGGAGTTGCAAGGTATGAGTTAGTTTTCGCATCAACATTTTTGGCTGTATGAGCTGGTTATCTGGTACCTTCATTTTTGTTTCGATGCAGCCAATTCACTTGTATATTGTAGATCTCTGTGTTTCTATCTATTTAAAAGATTATCTTGTGCTTGATTTTTTGGCAGGAAGTACTCTCTTGATTTGGATAGTGTTCTCTTGAATATAGCTAGCTGTGTCACTGTATGGGCCATTCTGTTTCAGGTTCTGGTGATTTTGTATTTGTGTTCTGTTCCTGTGATGCACCTCCTCATATTACATTGGATAACTGTGCTTAATATTAATTCTTTGAGGTTATGGAGTTCTCTTCCTGAATGTTTCCAAGCAGTTATGATCTAATTTTACCTTTTGTTGTTTCTTCTGCTCAAACCTCTTCTGGTGCAACTACCTAGTGTACTGTACTAGTGTACTGTACTTTATTCAGCATGCGTAATGCTTCAGCCTTCAGGTTCATGCTTCATCTTATGATTTAATAGGTTCAGGTTCTTCTGCTTTTTTTTTTTTTTTTTTTTTTTTGGGGGGGGGGGGGCTACTTGGCTTAATGCTTGTAGCTTTGATGATCTGTGGTACTGACATTGGTTTGGCATTGCCTTGGGATTTTATGAAAACGAAGGTTTGAGTTCTTCTGAACTTTTGTCATGAATGTATCCTTTGTTCCTGACAGTGTCAACTAGTTTGCAGCGCATCATTAGGTGTCAACATAGCCCTTTGTCATTTAAAAATTTAGTGAGTTTCTAATCCTTTACTTGGATTTGTTTCTTGCCAGCTTCTTTTGGTGTTACAGGGTCTGGAGTTTTCAATGGCATGCATCATTCTGTAGTTGTGTGCTTGTAGATTATGGCTTCTTGTACTCGGGTTAATGGGTTTTGCCTAATGTTGTGCACTTGTGCTGATGACTTCTAATGAGCTTGCACATTTCGGGTTTATGTTGCTCTAGTTTTGATTATTTGGTGTAACACTGACTTCTGGAAATTCACATTCGATGATGATATTTTTATGTTCAATTAATCTTACGGCCTTGGTGATTTCAGGGTCCTGTTCCACTGGATTTGGGTTTAAATTTGTTGGGAAGTTTTAGGTGAAGGTGGATCCTCAGGTTGTTGCAATCATGCATTTCGGAAGATGTGTTGGATATATATTAAGAATTTTGTACATGAAAGGTTTATTTCTCTATTATTTTCAGTTGGGGGAAGGTAAAATGACTTTGGGTATCGGTTTGTGTTATGTTGATATGAATCTGTGATATGAAGATTTTCGCAGCTCGAAGGAGGAAAAGCACAGAGTTCTGCTTCTGGTTTTATGTTGGACTTTTATCTGCCGTCCCCATATTTTCTTCATTGTGCATGCTATTGTTATAGTTACTTTTGTCACTTGTCTTAGTTACTTCTGCAGCGGTGTGTTTGTAGGCATGAAGTGCTGGCTTTTGCTTGTCTTTTGGGAGTTGATTTATGATTGAAAAAGGGATGTCTGCTGAAAAGGGAGGAGTTTCTGGTAAAATTTCTCTGAAGATTTAAATTTGTATGGGTGGCTTGTTTAATAGTACAGACTTCCCTTTGATATGAAGTATGTATGCCTAAGGTATTGCACTATATGAAAATGGTGGATCTTGCAGTGGTCTGTTTTTGGATTTTGAGTTAATGGGATCTGTATGCACTATTACTTTTTCATTGGTCTTCTTTGAAGTCTGGGTTTGAGTTGACACTTGAAAGACAGTTGCTTTTCTCGTTACTACATCGACTTTGCTAGGTGGATATGCATTTGCTAATGCCTGTTTGATGATGCTTCATGGATGTTGATTGTGGTTTAAGTGCTGCTGATTCGGTTTTTTTGCATTTTCTTAAATTAAGCATTTGTCTTCCAGATTTTGTGTTGATCTTGTGGGTTGTCAAAAACTTGGTGGATTTAGTTCATTTAAGAATATGTTTGTTCCCCATCTGTTGTAGTTTTTTTTTTTTTTTTTTTTTTTTTTTTTTTTTTTTTTTTTTTTTTTTTTTTAAGCTGAGCTAGTTATTTCTTGGGGATGAAGCTATCATTTAGTATTGTATAGTTTTTCTGTGAGTATATTTTTTGTAAAAATATTAAATAGTGAGTTTGTACTGTTTTGTGATATTGATAGTAATATTTTTGCTGGATGATTTCTGTTTATGTTACTTTTTTTCTCCTTCTGGGTATCTTCATGTCTCTATATTTTGGATTTAGGTGAAAAAAAAAAACATTTTTAACTCCGCCAGTGAGAAGGTCACTGCCAGTCCCAAGCCTGGATAAAGGAGGAGGGTTATAGTAGGCTTGTTTGCTGTATAAATTTTTTCTTTTCTCGATGATGTGGTGTTATCTTTACATGGCAGTGGTATTGATGCCAACTTTCCTTCTCATTCTTAATTTTCATTTGTTAGATTTTGCAATGCTAAAAGTGAAAATTATTTATGTATTGCTGTTGACTGTATGTTGATTACAATTATTATTATTATTATTATTATTATTATTATTATTATTATTATTATTTAGGCTCTGTATGGAAGCAGAAATGTAACTGCTAGGATTGGTATGATCACAATTGTTAGAATTATTAGTATGATATTAGCTAGTGAATTTGATGAAACATTATTGGTCAACTGAGTAGAGCCATAATAGCCTTGGAGGCTTCAATTATTATTTTTTGCCTTACAAAATTAAGTTCATGCAGTAGGAAATGTGTGTTGCAGCTAGCTATTGCTCTTATAAGGTAGGTTACCTCTCACTGGTTACTCCAAATATTATGATTCTTTACATGCTTTGGTTTACTCAGGGGTAGGCCTTGTGGAGTTGTAGCTATT